CCCTCCCATGCTGCAGCCCGTGGTGGGGGGGGCCTCAGGGGCCGGTTAGCCTGGGTGCCCCAGATGGGATTGGGGTCCCCGCCCGTTCAGCAGCACTCCGATGAATAAGCCTGACAGGGCCTCTGGTTTCTGTCAACCACACAGGCACACCTCAGCCCCAGAAGCTTCAGACAAGGTTCTAGGTTACTGCCACCAAGTGTCTGAACAGGATGTGGGCTCAGCACAGGCATCTCGCCCCGGCCCTCGGCTCTTGTCGCAGGAGCTGGGTGTGGTCACTGCCATGACCGGTGGGTCAGACGGAGCAGCGCCGGGAGGATTTTGCAAAGAAGACCAGCCCCCTCCTGCACGGCCCAGTCCAGTTGCCCCCACACCACGCTCCTGTTCACCAACAGCCCGAAAGATGGTGGAATAGAATAGAAATGGAGAAACCAAGCAGCTGGCCACCTCCTGGGAGGGCTGTGTTACCCAGCCGCAAGGTACCTGGGACACGACCATCAGAAGCTTGTCCTTGTTTTTCTAAACAACTCGTTTCAGCTTCCTATCGCTTAGAAAAAGGAGAAAGAGTGTCTGCACTATTGCTCTTACCTCGTGGGCCCATCTGGAATGAAGAGCTTCTAACCTCGGGGGAGGAAGTGTCTTCTAGGCCAGCGTGCAAAGCGGTCCTGCCCACAGACTCACCTGACTACAGAAACACCCCTTTGCATAAGTCTCCATGCACACGGCAGCCCTCTCGCCAGTGTCGGGGCATGTGAAGCGGGAGACACCAGCCCCTTCCTCTACACACACGCACACCCACCCTTGCCGGAGGGGCCTGAGGACTGCTTCCCAGAGGTAGGCACAGGCAGAAGCAAGCAGACCATCGCCCACAAGTCGTGCCGCTCGGAGGGCGCGCTTGCACTTTTCAACAACTCTAAGCACAACTGGAAACACGGACCAGCTTTTCTGTGACCTCACGCTCTGACTCCACCCTTCCCTGGGTTGTTCGGCGGCAGAACGGGCAGTGGCCACCGTGAAGTGCCCCCCAACTCAGCCCAGTCAGAAGGCCTATGGCCAAGTCCCAGGCCAGTTTCAGGCATGGCCCCTGCGCTGGCAGCTCTGGGGTCGGGGGAGAAGAAGCCCGGCTCCGGTGACGCCAGGTGTGGGCGCCTCATGAGCAGAGAGTACCCCCTGAACAATAATCAGAGCCCACACGGCACGCATCAAGCCCTCAATTCCCCCATTGATTTACTAAGCCAACTTCCCGCCCTCTTCCTACAGCTGCCATCTGGACAGGTGACTCCACCTGTCCAGGGTGGAGACGTGTGGCCTTCCTGACAAGAACAGGCTTTTTCTCACCTTCAGCCCCATAGGGATTTAACTATTTAACAGACAAAAGTCCAGAAATGACACAAAAAGAGGAAGAAGCTTGCTCCAGCCTAAACGGTCAGAGGGCTCTAAGCGCAAAGGACAGAGCGCCTGAAAATTAGAAATAACCTCTTTTCGATGCCTCCCTGTTCCTTAATGTTAAGGAGGGTCGCTCCTCCAGCAAGAAGGACCAGAAACGGGCATGGCAGTGAAGGGGGTTTGGGGAACTGCGGCGACCTGCTGGGGCCTGTCCCCCTTACACAGCCCTGCTTGCCTGGTACGGGGACTCTGGGACAGTCCCAGATCTCTGCCGGGCTCCCAATAGGACCGGGGCTTGCTTGCTCCCGCTGCTCCCACAGAGGCACCAGAAGCAGGTGGCAGCTGTCCCAGGATTCGGTCCAGAACATTCTACCCCACCCCCACCCCTGCCGTGTGAGCCTGGGGGAGCTCCAGCCGGGTTGGTGGGGCTCTTCACTTGGAACACAGGAAAGATCGTGGCTTTGGTGAGCTGAGCCCTACCCCTGAGATCTTGGCTTCCCCTGCACCTGCCGTGACCCAGGTGGAAATCAAAGCCACATCTATGAGGCACCAAAAGAGGCCAGGAATGTAATCGACACACACCCGTACACTAGGCAGGAGCTGTGATACTTGTGAGAAGTGGCTCTAGGGTGGGGAAGGGACACTTTCCAGGAACAGCCACATCTGCTCTGCCTTTAAACTATATTAGTGAGCTTTTGGACCAACTAGAACCCTAGAACTATGGAACTGGAGAGCTTCTCATTTTACAGGAACAGAAATGGAAGCTCTGGGTACAGAGGTGGCCACCCACCACTGTCCCAGACCTCTCAGGAGGCAGAGCTCTAGCCCCCAAGTGACCCTGCAGCAGGCGAGCAGCAGACGACAGCGTGGAGTGGTCCCCTCCTGGGTACGCAGAAGTCCCCAGACACACCAGTGCTTCTCAGACCTCCCTCAGAGGGAGCTAGTTCCCTCCTTTCTCACTCCCAACATCTTGCAACTGCCACTTGTCAGCTGTCTCTCCTCCCTTCCCAATCCAGACACCGGAGGGGACCACGCAGGTCTTTCCCTGCCAATGACAGAAGGCTGCTTTCCAGACCCTCGGTCCTCCCAGCCCACTGGGCACCTGCTTGAGGCTTCCTGGCCCAGGACTGCTGAGAGGGCCCTGCTTTCTGAGCCTGGGGAGGTTTCCCCATCCCCACCGACATGTTCTCAGGTGATCGGCGAGGCCCCCCATGAGCTCTGCTTCTTCCTCTCGCCCCATTTGCTGGAGACCAGATTCGAGCAAAGCAAGAGTCTGCCTTTTTCTGTGCACAAGCTCCTCCTGGAAAGAATTCAATTTTCCTCCCCACTTTAAGAAGAGAATCGGTCTACAGTCCCAGGTTATTTTCTGCTACGAGTTTCAATAAAATTACAAACAGGATAAATGACTTGTAGGATTTGAATTACACTCTGATTACAGCCACAGGGTGGTCCGTACTCCCTTTAGCACTGACAGTGAGGTCCCCACTCCTGCTGACACTTCCAGGAGACTGTCAGGGAGCAGTCACTGCTCTGGGCTTGCCGGATTTGACTGGACATCACAAAATCCACAGCTCGTCTCTTCCCCCACGCCACTGTGGTACCAAAATGACGGCACTAGGCTGAAGGGGAGTCTGTGCATGAGGAATGGGCAGAGCTCCAGCTGCGACAGCAGAGCCTGCCACCCTCTCCGGCGGACCTACCCTGCTGCTTGGAAAGCCAGAATTCAAGGCGAGCCTTTGGGCATCAGTGAGCGCAGTGTCCGCCACTGGAAATGTCTCCCCTGATACAGAAGCCTGGTTCCAGCAGCAGTGACCGGACTGTCTTCATGTTTAGCAGACCCAGCACCAACCCGCATGGGCCCCAGCTGGCCTGCCCTGTGCTCCCCAAGCAGGGACGCCCACCCTATTCTCTATTAGGAAGGAGCGATTCATATGGTCTCAACTAGAAGCGCACAGGTCTCCCCCAACAGAATGGAAAATTCGCGGGACTTGAGGAAGAATACTGTGGTGGCCCCAGACCCGGGGGAACCTGAGTTGGGAAGGGGGCACTGCTTTCGCCCACAGTGCTGACGCTCTGAATCCCTGCTTGCGAGCAGACAGCTCTCCCATGGGTGGGGACCGGGGCTTCTAGCTGAGGGACTCAGCCCCGCACCCCCTTGCCTAGAAGATATAGCCAGTGTAGGGCCGACCGTGCCAGCAGAATCCTTCTCCAAATCCTGGCAAAGCAGCTCAGACCACATCATAGCAACAAAAATACGTCTGCCTCTACATGTGGTGGCCCTTCTGTCATTTCTGCAAAGTGTGACACATCTTCTCCATTCATCTACTTTTAACTCTGAGATGCCAGAGGCCGGAGCAGAGTGGTGGCAGGCACAGGTGGTCCCTGGGGGGTGACAGGCAGCTCCAGAGCAATTCCTGGAGACATCACTTCTAGTCAGTCACCAAGGACACACTGAGGGAGTTCGAGACCATCAGAGGAACTGTCACTGCCCAAGGACATCCCCCCCCAACATGCAGGTGGGACTCCAGATGCAGGAAGACCCCTGCTTCTACACCACTTACAACACATCTTGGTAGAAAGAGGTCATCAGGGGAAGAAGAAAAAAAAAAAAAACAGAGAAAATGGACATATTTTTCCTGCCACAAAAAGCTCAGGCTAAATCAAAACAGGTCCTCTCAAAAACCTTGTTTTTCCTAGTCGCTAAAAAAGAATCAGAATGTTTCCTTTTGTCCAAGATATTAAATAACCTAGAATTTCTTCAAAGTATAGCTAGTTTTTTCATTAACTCCCTTTCTAAAACTTCAAATACTACAACCTTTAATATTTTAGTGTCATTCTTTTTTGTTCTTCGCTATGACAGAGCAATCGCCATGCAATTATTAAAAACAGTTTAGGAATGCGAAGCTTCTCTGGCAAAATCCATAAATGTAAAGGGACCACCGGTCACTGAAATTGGGAGGAAGCGTACCATAGCGGCCACCTCAGAAATTTTGTTTCTGTGTTTTGACCTAAAGAGACTTTCCTTTTCTCATTATTTATAGTGACTCAGATAACTACAGCATATAAATTCACATTGTAAATGTATTTTCTTTTTCTCTGGGGGAATTTTACGGGATAGCACGGACTCGGGTGGGGCCCTTAAATAAATTAGCTATATCTAAATGTTTAGTATTCCTCTCTCTTGAATGTCTGATCACTGAGAGTTAAAATTCGTATGACTCATCTGGACCTCAGCATCCAAGACAAGGGTAGAATGGACCCCAAAGGCAAGAGCCCACACAACCTTCAAGAGGAGGACGGGGGTGGGGGCGTGCAGGGGTTTTCAAAGAAGCCCTCAGAGTCCCAGACAGGTGGAATCCAAATTGTTTCTTCTCCCTGTGTCAACCAACTCACACAAAGCCACAAAGGACTCCCAAGTAGAAATGAACCAAATAAAACAATGTAGCCTGGCGTGTTCTAGCTTCCATGGGCAAGAACAGGTACCATCAATGAGACAAAGACAGGACTGGGGGAGACGCTTCCACCTCCGTCCTCCCCACTGTGCAAAGGCCCCGCCCTTCTCAAGGGGCCACAGCCAAGCCCTAATGCCCCTCTACTGCTGAAGTTGGCGTGGGGGAGGCTTCCTCCTGCTCTGAACCACTGGGTTGTGCGGAGCTGAAATCTCACAAAAGCACTTTTGTGTAGCTTCACTTCCCGTTACTATCACACTGCCAAAACCTACAGCAACAACACAGCGAAAGCGTGTAAAAGCCAACACAGACTTGATAGCTAAACGCAAGCACATGTTGGCCCATTCTGAGCACACCATTTGGAGAGGGTTGCGCCTACCTGGCAGAAAAGCCAGAGTCTTCCACAGAAGCCCGCCCCAGGACGCCTCCCCCACCTCTTTCCAAGCCCTAAGAGCCTCTTTCCCAGCTCTTTAGCAGAACCTCCTGGCAGGTCTCTAGGAAAAGCACGGCTGCCTGCCTTTCCCCATTCACAGCCACTGCACTAAGCCTCCTCCTCAGCACCCCCCAAGGCACCCCTACACACTGAGCTGCCCAACCTAGGAGCTTCAGAACCCGGCACATACCATCCCACCCCCAAGTTCGTATCAGTTCAGACTGGCGGTTTATAACCTCCCCTCCACTTCACTTTCCCCTAAAAGAAAAACATTTCTTTCCACATTCTAGATCATTCCCAGTTGGAACTGATTTTTTAAAAAGGGTAGTGCTGACCTTTGCAGGGATCTGGGTAGTTCCACCATGAATTTTTTTGGACAAATGTTCCCTTTCAAAACTCAAGGCGCCTGTTAGATTTTTTCAATTAAAGAACAAACATGCCTTTTGCACCGGTTCCTTCCCAGGGTAAATGACCTCCCTGCAACGCAAAACCTTCAGAAAGGGCATGACAGCCGTTCTGACTGTTGCAGGTGCAACACCAAGCACCCAGCCACCCAGTCCGGAGTTCCCCCACACTCAGCCACAAACAAAAAGGGGTGAGATTACACCTACTTCCGTACTCCCATTAATTCACCCATTCTAGAACCCCCAATTCCCTAACTCATTTCTACCCCCATTTAGGGCCTGTTACTGTAACATTAACACAAACACCATCCTCCCTCCGAAAGGGGATAGCTGATGCGATGGTGCCTTTGCTGAGTACGCATTGGGCCTGGTAGCGTCAGGTCGTCTCTTCCCAGGGCTTTGGTGCCCAAGATAAATGTGTGCATGAGTGAACGAGTGTGTGGGTGTGAGTGTGAACGTGCGCTCCCCCTCCATCGTGCGGGCACGGGGCCAGAGTCTGATGCGCACCCACGCTGGGCGACGGACCCCGGCCGCTGCAGGGGGTCCTCGGTGGCGCGGCTGCCCCCTCCCTGGCCCGGCCTGGCCCGCAGGCTACCTGCAGCCGCACGCCTCCACCACCATGTCCTCGTACTGCTTGTAGACCACGTTGTTGGCCGCGTCGATGTAGAGGATGCTGATAGGGCTGAGGCGCGCGGGCACGCAGCAGGAGGCCGGCGCCGCGTCGGGAGCCATGGAGTTGAGCAGCGTCTGAATGATGGCGTGGTTGGTGGGCTCAAGGTGCGAGCGCAGAGGGAAGTCGCAAACGCCCTCGCAGTGGTACGCCTCGTAGTCCAGCGGCGCGATGATCCAGTCGTCCCAGCCCAGCTCCTTGAAGTCCACGTGCAGCGGCCTGCGGCTACAGCGGCTCCGACCCCTTCGCCCGTGGCCCCGGCCCGCGCCCCCGCCGCTGCCCTGCGCCGCTCGCGCCCCGGCCAGCGCCGTCCGCCGCCGCCTGCGACCGCCGATGACCGCCGTGGGCGACCCAGTGCCGGGTCCCGGGTCAAGAGGCGGCTCCGCTGCCAGCGCGGCCCCGAGCGCGCGGGCCTGGGCGCGGATCTCCCGGAAAAGGTTCCCCTTCCTCTGCGTGCGGGAGGAGACGACAAGCAGAGCGCGCTCTTCCGCCGCTGCACGGCCCCTGTCCCGTGAACCGAAGCCCAGCAGCCGCAGTGCCACCGGGCCCTGCGAGGGACCGGCCACTGAGCGCAGCAAGAGACAGAGTGCACGGGTGGCACGCGGCTCCTGGCGGTGGCGCCGCACGGCGTCTGCCACGTCGAACACCTCCCAGCGCGCTGCGGCCAAGGGCTCGGCGGCCCGCGAGTGCAGCAGGCGGGGCGCTCGGGCGGCCCCGGGGCAGGTAGAAAGCAGCAGCAGCGGCGGGGGAGTGGCGCCGCCAGGGCCCAGCTCCGGAGACTCGTGGCGCAAGACGCGCAGCTCGGCTCCCACCACCTCGTCGGTGTCGGGAAGGCTGGATACGTCGAACAGGAAGCTTTGGCTGGTCTCGGCGGGCGATTCGTCTGCAGGAGTCGGGCGGAGACAGAAAGAGAGCGCGGTGAGAGGCGAGAGCGAAGCCCGCACTCCGGGCCGCCGGGCCTCCGAAGTGCAAACAGCCCACTGCCCGGGATGCGGGAGCGAGCCCGCTGGAGACGGCGCCGGCCGCCCAGTCTCGGCCCAGCCAGAAAGCTGCCAGCCTGGCCCAGAGTAAAGGAAGCCTTCGCCCCGACTATCGATTATCGGGACCGGGGCTTCGGTTCATCGAGCCAAAGTTCTGCCACAGCGACAACCCAGGAGCCTTCACTTATCGCCTATCGCCGAGCCTGGGGAGGGAACCACACCCCTACACCCGTTGCCACTACAGTTCCGCTGCCTGACCCAGAGCCTCAGGTTTACGGGGCCTAGATCGGAAGCCAGACTTTTCGGGCGGGTGGCCGACAGAAGGCCGAGTGGGCGCATCAGAAGCCCTGCGCCCCTTCCAAGGCCCGGAGGCCAGGCCGAGGCCCCGCGCTGTTCTGGGACTGCTCTTTATTGCCTTGCTGATGCCCCAGGACAGCCCGGAAGTCCCGGCTGAGCGAAAACGGAAAATTCGTGTCCCCTGACAGCTCTGCTCCTTCCGCTACCTCTCTTCCCCAGCCCAGCCTGGACACTCCTGCCGGTCACGATCTCCCGTGCAGGCTGGGCCTTGCGTGGGAGTCGTCCAGAGGGGAAGGACACAGCGGAGCTGCGGACCCTCTAGCGCATCCAGCGTCCTGGCTATGCTGAAGGGGAACTAAGGCCCACATAGGGAGCGGCAGGCTCGGCCCGAGGGCTCCCAGTAGGGAGTGCGGCTGCTCGAGATGGGAGCAGCCCTGGCTTAGCTTCTCCTGGCTTTCCACGACCTCCGATGGAGCAGGCAAGGCGGCATAGGGAGTCTAGGATCCTTCTCCCAAGGGTCTGGGGCAGCCCCGGACTGCCTTCCTCGCTGCAGTGAGGGCAGCGGCTCCATGAGGTCTTGCCTCCAGGACCCACCGATGCCTTCGCAAACATATTCTTTCTCTCCGTTATGACTTATCTCTGAGTTTGGGGGTTTTGTTTCTGTCTTGGGCACTTTTTTTCTTTTTTGGGCTCAGGAAAAAAAAAAAGTTGAAATTCCACGGAGCAGCAGATAAGGAGCTCCCTTTGAAGAAGGTCATATGGTTTCATTTTGCCCCAAACTCGGAGAGACTGTGCAGACTGCCCCCACCACTGGAGATCTGCTCACCGACCACTGCTGCGGGGCCCTTGCCTCCGGAGCTCTGAAGTCTGGGCTCTGCCAGTGGCTTCTGGGGACCTCAAGTAGTCCTGCTCCAAGTTGAACCTCATAGTGGAGAGGGAGGGAGGCTCAAAGTCCTGGGCAAGTGCATAGGCCTCCCTGCCACTGCTTTCCCCCAGGGCTCCCTGGAACACTTTTCCTGAGCCTCCCCTGCAGCATCCCCCCCCCCCCGCCTTTACAAGGTGCAGCTACTGCATCCCCTCCTTCCAGAGGGAGGAAGAAAGGATGCCCTCAGAGCCTTGCCAGCCAAGAAAAGACTGAGCTCAGGCTGAGGCTAAGGGTCGGCCTAACTGTATCTAAGAAAGCAACTGGTGCCTCTGCCCACTCAGTGTCCTGCACACCCACACATCCTGTATCCCTGGGGGCTCACAAGGCAGCCTTAGGGCTGGGGCCTTCCCTGGCTCTGTACACCAGGGCTCCGGCTTTGTAGGAGTACTGCGGCATCCAGTCCTGGGGGCACACCAGGCCTTCAGAGAATGCCTGAGAGTTCGCACTGCACTATAGAGCCATCTGGGCCCAGGATATCCAGCACCCAAAATAAAGCCGTCTCTGTGTGTAGACTCCTGTGTGTGTGTGTGTGTGTGTGTGTGTGTGTGTTGGAGGAGGTGTGTGATCTGGTTACTGCACCACCTCCACCCGCCTTCCCAGGTTAGAGTGTGCGGTGTGGGCCTGTCTGTTACTTCCTTTCCAGCCCTAGTCCCCTTTCTTCCCCTCCTGCCTTCCATGCTGGGTCTCTGGCTGGATAGAATTAAGGCCAACATTACTTGCATTTCCGCCTTAAATTAGTTAAATTTTCCCTATCTGTCTGCTTTAATGACTTCAATAGAGATTAATAAAATCCAGATGACACACAGCAACCACCACAGTCATACCCATGTCCTACCTTTGAAGGACCCAGGGCAGAGTAAGGTGGGGTGCTTGCTCCCGGCCAGGCCTGCCTTCTGGCAGGGGCTCCGTCCTCTCCACCTCACCGGGCTGGCGTCCTCCACCTCTGGCTGTCCCAGCAGCCCAGCACAGGGCACAGGCCACCATAGCCATGCACCTCCCCCTTGACAGAGCCTGCCCAGAGGGGACCTCCTTGTACCTGGTGATGCCACCAGTCTCTCCTGGGGCCATGTACTTTAGCCTGCCTCCTTCCCTTATTCCCTGAGTTCCCCCCAATTTGTGTGGCCCCCAGGAGACTAGAAGGTGCAGAACTGGCTGCACTGAAAGCCTCTGACGACGCCACCCCCATCACGGCGCCGTCCCTCTCGGCCCGGGCCCCTTCTTTCTTCGGATCCTGCCTCCTCGAGGGGACCCGCCGGCCGGCAGGGCCAGGACAATTCCGCGGAGGGACTAGCTCAGCCCTCTGGGGCCGAGCCCTGAGAGCTTGCCGTGCCTCTCGCCACAGTCCAGCGGGTTCGGGTGCGTGGGCCTCGGCGGAGTTTCCACCACCTGAGGCTGGGACGTGAGGGGGTCGCGTCCCGAACGGTCTGGAGCTGGGGCTCGGCTCCGGCGGTGGCCTCCGCCTAGGAGCGGGCAGGACGGACGGGCGCAGTAGAGGCGTCAGTACCTTGGTTCGCCTGGTCTGCGAAGCCGGTGATGGTGTCCGCGCGGCCGTGGCGGCCAGAGCCCGAGGTGGAGGCGGCGGCTGCCCCAGCCGGAGCCCTCCCGGCCAGGTTCCGGTAAAGCGACATCATGAACTGGTGCGGCACCACCGAGCCGTTCCTGAAGCCGAAGCCGGCGGCCCGGCGCCCGGCGCGGGCTCCGGGAGCTGCGGCGGCCGGGGCAGCGGAGACTCCCGCAGCCGGGGCGAGGGTCCGCCCGCCGCCGCCGCCGCCCCCCGGACTCCCGACCGGCCCTGCCCCCGCCGCTCGCAGCACGGCGGCCGCTTCGAGCCCGTCGCGGGGGCGGCAGGCGCTCAGCAGCCAGAGGCACAGCGCGGCGGCCGCGCTCAGGTCCATGGGCTCCGTGGGCCAGGCGGGCGGGTGGCGCGGGCTCCGTGGCTCCGGGAAGTCCCCCGGCGCCTTTTGAACATAGTGTTTAATAATGGGGGAAGTGTGCGCGGCAAGTCGCGGCCCCCCCTCTTCTCCCACCCCACCCCCGCCCAACGCCCGGAGCAGCGCCCCCTGCTGAACACTGGAGTGGCAGCGCCGCGCCCCCCGCTCCGGCCTAACGCCGAGCCCGGGACAGGAGCCTCCTCCCCGCGCCGCGGCGCTTCGCCCCACTCCCGTCTAGCGAGTGTTAGCCGCCCGAGGCTTCCGCCACGACCCGGGGCCCCGCCTCCCCTCCCCTCGGCGGTGCGACCCCCCGCCGCCCGCGCCCCAGCCAAACGCGCCCTCCCGAGCTAGGGGCTCCGAGGCATCGCGCGCACCCGCCCAGCTCCGTGCCCACTCCCCTGCGAAGCAGCTGCACCCGCCCCTAGCCCGCCCGGGTTCTCTGAGTGCCCGAGACGCCAGAGGTGGGGTCGCGGAAGGGCGCGGCCCCGCCGGTCACTGCCGGGACCTCCGGGCCAGGACGCACAGAGAGGCCACGGGGCGTACGGAGGCCACAGGGGCGCTCAGGGCTGCCACAAAGGCGCGTTTTTCGTCTCCGGTTCGAAGGTTGCCCAGCCTGCCACAGCCTCCGAATACCGGAGCGCGCGACCGGAGCAGGGGAGGGGACCGGGAGGGAAAAGAGGGCTAGTGGCTGGAAGGGCAGGCCGGAAAGACAGATAGACGTGGACCGACAGTCGGAAAGCCAGGGTTTGGACGGAGAACTTGCGCTTAAGCTGGAGCAAGATCTCAAAGGAGCGCGATCTCAAAGGAGCGCAGAAACTACGGAGGCAGAGCCGGGATGAGGAGGGGACCCTGCGCTGGAGCAGCGCCCCGAGTTCATTCGTGCGTCGAAAGTGAGGACCTTCCGCCCGCCTTCTGGGGGGGGGGCGGCCAACGGAAACGGGCTACCTGGTATGTTGGGGCGCGGCCAGAAGCCTGGAGGGCGGGCGGCCGAGATCCCTAGGGTGGTGCCTCGGGACCTCTCTGGCCGAGGTGATGGGTGATGGGTGGAGGGCACGCCCAGCGGCCACGGCGGCGGCCCCTCCGAGCGCACTCGGATCGGTTAGGGAGGTGGCTGACGGGTACTGATCGTTTCAGCTCCACTGCAGCCCGGCACAGGTCAGTGCGGGAACGTGCAGCGGATGCACGAGGTCCTGGTAGGTAGATGGAGGGCCTGAGCCAGGCGGACCCTCGAAGCAGCGCAGATGCGTTCTTTGTCCTTTAAATGTTTTATTTGCTACCGAAGTTGAAATCTAGACGGGGTCGGTGCGTCATGGTCACTTTGGGTGACCAGCGTCAACACGATGCCACAGGACCCAAAGTCGAGGGAGTCCCGAGTCTCTCCGCGTTGCGCCACACTGGCTCTGGGAAGAAGCTCCGCGCAGGGAGCTCCCGGGCCGACTCCAGCCCAGGCTCGGAGCTCCCCTGCACCAGTGACTCCGTCCCGAACCAGTCATCGCAGTGCGGGCCGCCGCACAGACGCGGTGGCTGCTCATCCGGGCACTTTGGTCCACTCACCACCACCGGGGACAGGGACGTGTGGGGGCAGGAAGAGAGGTCTGGCGGGAGGCTACCCTTCCCGGACCGCAGGCCCCTCGGGTGAGCAGAGAAGAAAGAGCGGAGTTTCTTCTCTGTGGGGAGTTGTGGTTGGGAAGGGCAGCGGGGGGCGGGGTGGGGGGCTGGAACGACAAGGGCTGCATTAACCCACCCTGCTTTGAGGACTGAGGATGGGGTGCCAGCCACAAGGCCTTGGCCCCAGGTCTCCTTCTCTGGGTGGTACTGGTACAAAGGGCCCCACAGAAATCTAAGCAGGCTGTCTCCAGAGGGTGCCCCCAGAGACAGTGGCCCTTTGACCTCTTAACAGCAAGGACAGAATGGAAAGGTGCCTGCGCAGATAAGGCACAGCCTGTGCCTATGATTCCCCTGCCCTGCGGCTGTCTTTGGGCTCAGGAATTAGTTTTGGGGTGAAACCCCTGCATTCTTGCTGCCGCGGCGGGAGCCTTAGCTCCTTTGAGACCAAATTTCCTCATCTGTAAAATGGGCCGATTCTCACGTCAGGACGTGGGTGTGTGGCCAGGATAACAGGCTGGCACGGATGAGGCTCAGTGGCCTTGCCGCCCTTCCCACCCCCTGCAGCGGGTCTGTTCTGGGGCCCAAGGGTGATGATGGCCAAGAGAGGAGCTGTTCGTAGGCACCAGAAAGGCTCTGGAAAAGACTGCCCAGCAGCTGTTTTTGCTCGAGCTGGGACTTAACCACTCTCACCTGTGTTTCTTGTCTGTAAAGTGACGTCATCATTCATTCCTTGGTCATTTATCCATCCCCTAATTCATTCTTCTTTCCAGTAAATACTTACTGCCAGTAGCTTTCTGTGTGTTGCTGGTCCAATAATGCCCAGGACAGATGCACAGGAAACTGGGGCTGGGGGGGGGGTGGTTCGACCACCAGCAGAGGACACCCTAAAGCTGAGGCCAGAGGGGACAGGGGCACAGGGATGCCTGGGACCCTGTCCTTCCCCTGAAATCGTGACAGTAATGCTTTGCTCTCAGACTGCTGGGCACCGTGTCAGCCGCTCAACATACCTGACGTCATTCCCACCACTGTTATGTCCTGTGAGGGAGGAATGGTTTGTCCCATTTCCTAGACAAAACTTTGTCTATTCAACACCTTGTGCAGGTGGCAGAGCCTGGAGTCTCCAGTTGTTTTTGCTCTATCCTTGGCTGCCCTCAGGAGGCATGCATGTGAAGGGCTTGGTCCCTAATACCCTCCCCAACCCCGAGAGCCAGGCAGAGTACCCTGCCTTGCCTCTCTAGCTCTCTGGGAAATTCTCAGCAGAGAATGAACTCTCTGATCTGGTCCAGGTGAAGACCATGGCTGTATCACCCTGGGAACTCCTTTCTGCCCCTAGGATCTCACAACACCCGCAGTGGAACACAGCCTGTCGTCCCTGACTTCAGGGCCTGCCCCCGGTCCCAGAAGCCGCAGAGCTCAGAGCAGCACGGGTTCCCAGGAGAGAATATGACCTGATGGCTTCGTGGGTTAGGCCCACACACCCAGGGCCTGACGAGATCCTTGTCTCTGGATGTGCTGGGACCCAGGACTGCCCTCCCACAGGAGAGAGAAATGTGGGGCCAGGAGCTCCTAGTCCTCCAGCCCTGACTCTCCGTCCCTGTGAGGCTGAGGCCTCTGGGGAGCAGGCAGCCCTGGGTGGGCAGGCTGGCCCAGGCTGTGCTTGGCGTCTCCTCCCAGGAGATGTGGGGAGCCTTTGGGAGGTGGGCTGGGCAGAGGGAGCTAGCACTCCCTGCCTGGAGACCCGGAAGTCGTGTTCTTCCTGACGCTTTGGAAGGGAGTTTCCTCCATCCTCTGTGTTGCCCCAAAAGTCACTGGGAAGCCAGGGATGAGGCCCTGAGGCCAGTGCGGAAGTTGCAAGGGGGCTGCCGAAAACTGGGGACACTTCTCATTTCCCCTCTTCATCAGTTCACTGAGAGACTGGCTGCAAAGGGGGAAGAGGGGTAAAAGCAGCCCGGTACGGGGGTGGGTGTTCACTGACTGGGGTGGGCAGGAAGGGTCCCCACCTTCTCACTTCCAGGCCCTTCCCGTGGAGAGCAGAGCTGTCTGCTTTCCAGAGCACTGGGGCTCGGGTTCAGGTCACAGAATCCCAGAACCCAAAGGAACATTTTGAGTTATTTGGGCCAACGTTCCACACCATACCTAAATCATGACAGTTTGCCCGCAGGCTGAGCTTGTGTACCTGCAGAGATGGGAAGCCCGCCAGCACGCACAGCCTTCTGAGAGCTCTTGAGTGTGAGCAAGTGCTCCACACTGCCCCTGGGACGGCCACAGCCTCTCTCAAAGGCACCTTTACTGACAGGAGGTCACATGACATCTGCAGCACCAGCCGGGCGCGCTGTGTTGATGCCCCAGAGGAAGTTACATTTGACCCTTGAACGAGGCAAGGGTTGGCACCCCCCACTGCCCCCTGAACCCTGTACGGTCAAAAATCTGAATATAGCTTCTGACTCCCTTATAACTGAACTACTAATAGCATACTACCGACCAGGAGCCTTGCTGATAACATGAACGGTCGATTTTTGTTATCATACCTTTGGTATATTACACGTATCATGTACTGTATTCTCAGAGTAAGCTAGAAAAAAGCAAATGTTACTGAGAAAATCTTAAGGGAGAGAAAACACATTTACAGTACTGTCCTGTGTTTATAGAGATAAATCCTTGTAAAAGTGGACCCATGCAGTTCAAACCCTTGTGGCTCAAGGGTCAGCGGCTGTCCTGGATTCTGCCAGCTAGAGCCACCTCGTGGCGACCATCAGGTACCAGGAATTGCCCCAGCCCCAGTGGCAGCCCTCTCAGCCTCGAACAATTGTCTCCTGCCACACCAGATACCGGACCTCCCTCTTGACAGGAGCACGGTAGGTCCCCCAAAGACGGCCTGCTCCATGGCTTCCACTGTCCACAAAGAGGCCAAGTCTCTGGGAAGGGAAGCCGTCGGTGCTTGGTTCTGTGTCCTTGAACCATCCCTGGTGGCGGGTCCCTTCTGTGATCCTGTGCCTTTGCTGTTTGTGCAGCTCAGCTGGTGTGCCTCAGGCACCCTGTAGATGAGGCTGATGAGAGCTCAGCCTCCACCCTGCCCACAGCAGCCAAGCAGCGTTCTGGAGGGGTTCTGGGTCCCTCCAGCCAAGCCTATTCTGCAAGATGAAACAGATGCCCCTGGCCATGACTGGTTGATGTTCCTGAGATTCTAGAGAATCCAAACCCTGCGCCTAACCTCCGGCTGCCTGCTCCTCAGCCCCTCCTGGCAAATGCACAGTGAGGGTGACGATCAAATGGCCACCGTGGATCCAGCTGCAAGAGGCGGAGAACATGTGAGGGTGTGGTGCCGTGCCAGGGAACCAGCTAGGAGCCTTCCTCGG